GGCTTTATGAATTAATAACTGACTCTTTGCCCTCAAATTTGAAAATTATTCCTTTCAGTGTCTACTGGATTCTAGGAACCAGACAGAAGATTTGGCAAAACTGTATACAGTTCCACACCACTTTTTTTCTTCTTCTTTTTTTTTTTCTCTCTCTTGAATGCATTAAATTAAATGCACATTGTCTAAATAAACTGTGCATTGTGTCAATAGCTAAACTGCAGAGCTCCAGACATCTCTTGGGTGGGAGAGGCAGCTCTGCTCAGTTAGTCTATCATTGTTTAATAAAGGAGATTAGTGTGCACAAACTCAGTGCCACAAAATGTCTGGGTCTTGCTGATGGAAGTGAGGAAAAAATAATAATAATAATTTCTCCCAAAGCAATCTCTTCACCTAGTGACAAGAATACACCACACCGCATAAGAGTTTCTCTTACCTGACTGCCATAGAAGGAAGACAACTGTTATGTCAAGCAAGACAACTGTTATGAGAGCCAGGGGCCCAGGGGATACTACAGGGGAAGGTTGCAGGCAAGAGTGGGTATATGAAAGAAAATCCGCCTAAATCTGCCATCAATTCGGTTTGCTACTAGCTGCACAGCAGGCTTGCCGTCAAGCTGCACCCTGCAAGCTTTAAAAACTCTGGGACTTTGCACCTCGCCTCCAGAAAGCTGCACTCACTGAAGCACATCAGATCTGGGGTTGTGTAACTCTCAGAGAATTTCTGGTCCTTGCAGGATGAGGCCAGCAATTGCTCCTTTCCCTTCCCCTCCAAACTCTCAAGCAACCAGCATGGATGTGTTTTTTGTTTTGTTTTGTTTTGTTTTGCTGAACACCATTTTCTTTCCACCCTGAGAAGAATGGGAGGTTAAACTCCCCATCTGAGCTAAAGCCCTGGACTGAGGCTATAGAAATCTGGGAGTGGAAATGAGGAAAATGCCTTATTGTGAAGCGGGAGGAGGGAGAGGTGGAACTTCACAAAGGTGAAGGATGGGAAATCTGTGGAGCTCAGGATTTTGCCTACCCCTGAACACTGGCTAGGGGGTTAGTCATTCTTTCCTTCTTTCTCTCCCTCTGATGGATACACTTGCAGCTCCTCCCCGATTAGCTGAACCTGTCCCACTTGTCTGCTTTTGTTTCAGGGGAAGATTTCACTCCTGATCGGCATTTGGGAGAACCAGTCCCTCAGGCGTCCGCCACCCAGCCCAGCTCCCCGCTCAGGAATTAACGTGCCAGACCTGGAACAGGGACTTTTCTTTCTAGCCAACCTCCCAGGTCAGCTTCCTGGTAGGAAAGCTGATTTATGCTTGTTTATACATATAGGAAAAAAAATAAAAATAAAAAGAGGCAGAAGCCAAGGACGGCATCCCTCCAAATTCTCATTGTCTTTGTGACAACAAAGAGATCAAGGCAGTGGGGAGAAAAACTTAGAAAACTTAGCAGGATAAGGTGTGTCTGCGAGAAAAGGAGTCGTGGTATGGAGGGCTTGACCAGAAAGACAAACCCAGGGGTTTTCCTCACCTCCCATGGCTGAAGCCTTTTTCAGGTCTGACCAAATGACCTGTTCCTCCATGTGCCCCAGCTGGGATATGAACCAGGCACTGCAAGCACCTCTCCTGGCAAAAAGCCCAGCTCTAACAGAGGTTCCACAGGTGAAACTTAAATAGAAGTGTCCTCTGCCTGCTCCTGGAGGTCCCCGCACTGGTGGTGCCCCATGCATGGATCGATGCTTTGGCACAGGTGCAGGGACGAGGCCGTTCTCGTGCCCCACCTGTGCTGTGGGCTGGCTCCACTGCCTCTTCCCCTTGTCCTGCCTCATGGCCTGCGGCAAGGGGAGAGGCGAAACGTGGCCTGGACTCGGCATGAGGGAGAGGCCAAGGCAGAGCAGGGCAGGTGGTGGCATCGCTTCCCCCGCGGCGCCTCCTGCCCCACTCCAGCCAGCGAGGAAGGATGCGAAGCAGGGGTAGGACCCAAATCCGGAGGAGATTTGCCCCGTCTTGCCACGGGGAGAGGGCTTAGGCTTGCGGTGAGGCTAGGTACCAGGAGGAGTTTGCTCACGGGTTAGGCATGTGTGTAGGTGGCGGGAGAAAAGCGCTGTGCCAGTCGTGCAGATGACAGGCAGTATTTGGGATGGGGGGAGAGGGAAAGAAAAGGGCATCGTATCATGGCATGATAGTAAGTCTTCGCAACAGGTTTGGCACTGCTTAGTTCCTGCCATATTAGCAAAGGCGTGGAATTTTTTTTTTCTTTTTTCCAAGCCTACTGAGGCAGAGATGAGGCACTCAGCCATAGGAAGGTGGTTAGTGATGTCACAAGTTTGGTCTTTTCAATAAAAGCAATAGAGAACTGTCTCCCTCACTATATATATTAGGAGAAGCTTCTGTTCCTCATAATTAAAAAAGAGCAGCAAGGGAGAAAAGCACCTGCTTTTAAAGCCCTTTATTTAACACTAATCTGTTGCACATGAATGAAAACTCTTTGGGGCTGTTTTTCTTTTTAAATATTCCTTTCTCTTTTTTTTTTATTTCATTTTTTTTTCTTTTTCTTAAGGATAGAGAATAGTTTTGGAAGCGGTTGCTGAGAAGATCAGCCAGGGTCATCCCTAAGAGGCACAGAGGGCTGTAACTCAAGGAAAAGGTGAAGTAATAAATTGTGAAGAAATTTCAGCATTTCAAGTTTATAAAGGATATTTATTTTTCTTGAGTCCGTAAGGCTTTTTTTTTTTTAATTTCTGGGGAAAGGAAATTCTAAAAATAATTGATGGACATTTTGCTATTAACACGAGCAATAGAACTATGAGTGTGTGGAGGGGGGGACTATTTGCAGGGGATGTTACAAGTATTTTTAATTAGTTGAAAGGGCAATGGAAATCAAAGAAGTCTATTAGCTATACATTTTAATTTATAGGTGCACAGGGGATTGATTTACATCATAAACGTTTTAACGTTTTAAGCATGGTTTCTACTTCGATTCAAATGCTTTCGGTTTTATTTGCCTATGTGGTATGAAATTTGGCTAACTAGCATTTTTTTTTTTTTTGCTTGTAGCAGCAAGTATTGTTTAACGCTAACTAACCTGCAGGTATGGATGGAAACAGTTCTCTTGCAACTAAACTTTCCTCGGGAAGCGCTCTGTAAAACGGGGAGAGGAGGAGCTGCCACCCACCGTATCTCAGCGCTTTGTCGCGGCTCGGGAGGGCGCTGGGAGGGGGTTTGTTGCAAGGGAGGCTGTGGGGGGCAGGAACCGATGACCGCCGCGTAGCTGGTGGCGATGGGGACGGCAGTGGACGAGTTCCCCCCACGGAGGTGTTCGCGGGGTGTGGCCGAGGGGGAGCCCATGTCCCCCAGGTGTTTATTCCTGTCGGAAAACATCTGGGCAGGGCCAAGGAGTGCAGGAAAACCTCTGTTACTACATAGCTTCTC